ATGATACAAAGAATTTTAAAGATCAACATTCAACTGAAACCAGAACTTTTCTTGCTGGGATGAATGGACAGTCAATTAGAAAAGAGCCACGGAAGATTATTTTTATATATGATTACTGCTGCGAGACTATTATATGTGCACAAATGGAAAGACTCTGAAATACCCACAATGGAGGAACGGTTGGTGAAGAGGACAGAACTAGCAGAGACGGCAAAATTAACTTGTTTGATTAGAGAAAGATCAACAACTCCATTTAGCAGTGACTGGAAACCTCTTATGGACTTTTTGCTGGAAAAATGAACTTGTGATTTATGGGTTTGAAGACTGGAAAGGGTAGCTTTCCAGTGCCATCTTGACTTTTTTGACCCCCCAGATGCCCTGAAGAACCCAATGGGAACAGGTATACAACTTGATAGGAGAGGATAATGACAATAATAACAAGTTAAAACAGTGCTAAAACAAAATCAAAGAGAAACCCACCTAGCACAGGGGAATGGAAAATCTCACCTTCAGCTATATAGCTACAGTGACCACACATCCTTTATTACAAAGGACAGTCCTTTATTTTAGAAAGCTGTCCTTTAGATTTATTTGATTTAATCATTTATTTTCTTCATTTTGCTCTTGAATTTTCCTTTGTAAAGCTAAGTTATAAACCTTTTTTTTTTAAAATCCTGATGAACCACTTTCAGATTTGCCCCTTTTTCAGGTTTCTCCTTTACCTTTTCCAAGAAAACATGGTCCCTGTAGATGTTCCACTACCTACTTTGAATCATCTTCCCACCCACTGTGGCCCTGTCCCCACTCCAGAAAAAGTTATATGCACCCACCTGCAACCTAAACAATGGCTGGCACCTTACTCAGGGCTATGTTGATAGCTTACACAGCCAGCTAGACCTGCCTTATGGTTACCATCTGGGGCAGAAGGGTGAGATTTTGCCTCCAGCTTGTTCATTCTCCTAGTTCCTCCTTTATTTCATCCCAGGAAATACCCAGCCCTAATTGTTCCTTTAGACTCAGATCAGCATAAAACCCTGTGAATAAACATAATAGCAGTACGGTGAATTTGCTGGGTGAACCACATCTGCATTGGTACTAAGCTGACCCAAATTTTACACCAGGGAGAGCCAGATTCTATGACTGGCATCTTTTCTGCATGTTTGCTTTCTCTCCCTTATTTTGCACAATATAATCCCACAATTCTTTGAAGATCTCCAAACTCCAAAGATGGGCAACCCACAGCCCACAGGCTCAATGAAACTTCACTACCCTTATTTTTGCCTGCCAGTATTACATAGCAAAATGGCAATTTTCAGTGGTGTGAATTTCCCTCTCCTTTTTTGGGGGGTGGGGGGTTAATGTAAGCTGTAAAATATGGGTCTTAAGCTTTTTGGATATTTAATGTACTTATTTCTTGTAGGGAGGGGGAAAAAAACCTCAAAAATTTGCATCTCATCCCACCCAATGTAATGATCCTGGTGTTTTTAAAAGCTGAAAATAATGGAGAAAAAAGGAGAGGTCCTAAGAACTGATTGTTCAAACAGTTACAACTGCATCTAATACAAATGGAGTTCTGCAGTATATGAATAGAAATCTTATCCAGTAAATAAATGCAAACTAATTCTAAAACAACAACAGAAGGGTATTTGTTTTCACCTTAGATTCATTACCTGAGTGATCTCAAAACTAAATAGTGGTGTGTCTATTGGATTCTCGAATAGCATGTCATGTATTGTTGTTGTTCAGTCGTTAAGCTGTGTCCGACTCTTCGTGACCCCATGAACCATA